GATCATAAAGCATGTTTAATGTCATTAACCCACTTTCTATTTGGAGAAGATCCTGTCTGAAAGAAGCCGTTGGAATTGATGCTGATTTGAATGATCAGTAACGCTTCAGAATCTTATCTCATTACTTGCTGATGACGCTTCAGAATACTGATGACTTGGATTGTCATGTTCTTTCTCAAAATCAGAGTTTTATGTTACTTAAGCGCAGGGTCTGGTCATCAATTTTTCATCGCATGTTCTGATTGCTTCAGCGTGAAGACCTTATGGCTTATCTTCTGATGCTGATATGATCAGAACTTCTGCATACATAAAACATAATTTTTAAGGTGCATATTTGTTCTTTGTTTTTATTATTTATTCTTTGTATTTGTTATCATCAAAACTCTAACCAAGGGTTGTAGAATCAAACTATGTTCTGACACGTTAGTGCTTCAGGATACCACGCGGCGGCCCCGTATTCTCCTTATTTCCCCATGAAGGATACCGGTAACAACCAAAGTGTCACACCAACACAGTCATCGCTTAAACCATACTGATCTACGCTGTACAGTCTCCATGATCTATTGCTGTTTACCTAAAAGTGCCCCCAGATCCGGGTGTAGGATCTATAGTAACCCTAAACAAACCCTCAAAAGTAAAGTAGTCAAGACAATCAAGAGAAGCAATTTTAATGACCTAGATCCTAAGGTATACCCAATTTATTTTTCCCCAGCAGAGTCTCAAGTTCTGTGGTACGGTGGCAGAACCGACTGTTTTTTCTGGTTTGCGTTTTGCATGTTTTATTCGCAAAATGTCGCGGTAAGCAAGAGTCACCACGGACTTTTATTTTATCCAATCAGGAAAAGGAAAAATAACATAAAAAAACCTTTTTTGAGATGTTTCTGAGTACGAGGGGTAGATTATAGAAAGGGAAGGTGTTAGCACCCTTTCTATCCGTAGTTATCTACGGGCTCTTAGGTACTTGCTCCTTTTTCAAATTACTTGTGTGTGTTTGTCTTGAAAATGTTTTACTTCGTGATAACCCTTGTATCAGTCCTCAAGGATGTGACAAAGTTTTTTTTGAAAATTGTTTTAAAAGGTGTTTGTGTGAAAAGTTTTTATTGAGCAAGTACTTACGATTCTACCTACTCGAAAAAAGATTGTTTGTTCTAGTTTTCTTTAGACAGCGCTATCCTACTATGAAGGAGTAGGTAGCACCACAGTTGGACTTGTAAGGGACATTCGAAAGGGACAAATACAATTACTAAAGCAATAGGTAGAAAACTTTAGTAGTAACCCTAGATTCTTAAGATCTTTCCGAGGCAACATTCAAATGAGACATTTTGATCTTTTAGACAAGAGGGCAACCACTAAAATCTCCTATGCTTAATGATTATTTACCAAAGGCATCCGAAGTGAGGTAAACCCTAGGAGTGAATATGTGCATATAAATTGTTTCAGTTATTTAATCTTTGCACATTAGGTGATCTACTGTTTTAATTTCATATATTCTTGCCACACAATCCTATTAGCATACATTTAGACAGTTAAATATTTGCAGGAATTAAAAATACGAAAATAAACCTAGCTATTACAAGGCTTCGGGGGATGGGGATTAATTACATAACCAAAGAATCAGGGATTAAAGCAGTAAATATAAACCCTAGTTTAACTATTACAAACCACTGGCAGTTACAAAAATAATGAAAAAGAAATAATTAAATGCGCGGCGAATTAAAAACGAGGAGAAATTTAAAACCCTAAAATCTAATTGAGAAAAAATTAAGTTATTTTTGAGAAAAGAATTAATTGAGTTATGTACGACTAAAACCCTAATTCTAATTATTTTAATTATGAAAAAGAAATTGAAATTAACCTAATCTAACTAAATTAAATAATTTCAAGAAAATAAAATATTTTGTACAAAAAGATTTTATGTATTTTTTGGTTTTTATTTGAGAAAAGAAATATATTTGTAAAATTAAAACCTAGTTTCTATTTGATTTTAATTATGAAAAATAAATTAACTTAACCCATATTTCTAATTAGAATAAATATCTTATTAAAAAAAATGTTTTTTTTGGTGTTTTGTGATTTATTGATTTTATGATTAATAAAAAAAGGGTAATTAATTTGGTGAAAAATAATTAAACAAAATAATTAAAATAAAAGAAATAAATAAAGAAAAAGAGAATGGGCCTGTGTTGAATAGCAATTATGAGGGGTGCCAATCTGAAATTTTTGAGGCCCAAAACGCTCCAAGCCCGGTCAATATTGGATTATGTGTGATGTTGACTTGAACGTGCACCATAGTCCCTCATGGATGGAGCGTTAGATCTGATGACATGCTTGATCAAATGGTTGGACGCAAGTGTGCATGGTGGTCACCAGGAAGGATAATGTGCTGGATCTGTTGAATGAAAATAATTTAAAGGAAGCGCTGGGACCTGGGATCGAACCCAGGTCCTTATAATCAATACCAATGCCTCATTGCTAGCTGAGATGCGCGCTTTAGTTGTTAATATAAAGAAAACAACATATGTTATATAATAAATAAATGGATTAATGAATAAACAAAAAAACGCACAAACTTTCAAATGGTCCAATGATGATTGGACACGTTACCTTCTTCTTCCTCATCTGTCGTTTTATATCTTCATACCTTTACCTACAGTCAGCTTCCATGGCTAAAGACCTGTGCAATTCAAAAATTCACGAGACACAATATAAATGGAATTGAAGACCATGGTTCGATCGGTCGTGATGTCCCGATCATCCCAGTACCCATCTTATGGTCTAATTTTGCCTGTAGCCAAAAACCATAAACTGCACATCCAAACCCTAACAATGGCAAAGGCACGTATGGGCTTCAAAAATGCAATTAAATAATTCAGTCAGTTTGCAAACATGATGAAGATTACAAATATATAATTTAAACATGCTAATGATGCAAGAAATACAGTAATCGATTTTGAAAATATGGGCAAACCGTGTGAATGCTAGGGGACGATTCTGGGCATGTAGAGGAGTGCAACCTATTGGGTTAGCTTCTGGGAAGATCCAAGAATCGTTTGGCAGTGCTGTAATACCCCAAATTTGTCCTACCCTTCTACTTTTATCTGGTTTATGCATTGTCGCGCTTTTCTCATGTACATATCTCCATTAGGTCATTTAACATTGCATACATTCTCTAACAACATAATTTGGCATGGAATCAGTGATATGATGGAATTAGGGTTTCCATATCTTTAAGGCTCTCATCTTAACCCAAGGGTGTTTTAACTAGTTCTTCATCAGTCATGGTTTGTAAAGCTAGGGTTTCATATTCATGTTCTTTGGGAACTTTTTTTTATCATCTCTACTCAAGCTGCAAGGTCATCTCAAGGTGTGTTCAAAACATAGGGATTATGGTTTTCTTATCCATGGTGTTTATGTTTGATAATGTTCAATATTTGAAGATCAGGAGAGATAACCATTCATTATAAAGGTTTTCTTGGGCATACTTCTGGCCATAGTTCATATTTGTGTTCAAAGCTTTCTCAAAGGCATTGCTTTTGTTTTAAGATCAATATATCAGGGGAATTACATTGCAAGGTGAAAGCATGGAATAATAGATGCATTTAGGGCTTCATTGGGATTAAGAGATTGAAGATTTTGGTGAAGCGTTCGTTCGAGCGATTAGGTGATATTGTGAGTTCAGATTGTCTAAGGGAATCAAATGGAGTCAAAGTTTTCAAATCAATTTTTCCAAGTCACATCAAACCACATCCATAAACTCCTCCAAAAGATATTAAACGAACCTTATTCAGTATCTCGACAAACTCCAAACAACCTTCATGGCTATATTGTGATACATTTGAAAAAGAAGGGAATTCAAAGATGTAAGCTTAAAAAGATAACTTAATGACCAAATCAGACGGATCTTTCTTAATCAATCCAAACCATGCTTCTTAATGGTTACTTGATGCATAATATTGGTATTTACATTCATATATTCAAAAGAAATGGTGGAAGAAAAGCAATTCAAAGTTTATTCAAGTCCGACGCATTCCTCCATTTAAGCGGTGTAATTACAAAACAACTAAGTACATCCTTTCAATTACATCACAAAGAAAAACTACACAAAAATAAATTACAAGGAAAGATTTATTCCAATCTTCAACTTCATCCATGTCTCGTGTTGCCGAGCCTAATGCCGCTCCATTTTATATCTTGAACCTCTTACAGACTTCAACCATGATTCTATAGCCATATCTGCACATGAAACCAATAGATCATGTTTAATAGAGGAGCAGCCCTGCAAACTGTCAAAAAACCAAAAACGGACCTAAACCTTTAACCAACCTCTAACTGTTTTCAAAACTGAATCTCAACTGTCCATAACAGCCCTGCACATAAAAAAGGAGTTTATAACAGTTTTTCTAACTTAACCAACCCAAAACAGTTACAACAAACTAACTTAACTAGTAACACTGTTAACAGAATAACAAATCTCCAACCTCCTAACCAACTGCCACATAACTTCACTAACAAAACCAAAACAGAATTCACAAAAAGTACCCAACTTCCTATAACAGAATTTTCCATAACTAACTGTTATAACCAGATTCATAACTGATGCAACAAACTTCAACAGAATTTAAGCTAACAAACTTCCCAACAAAATTCCTAACAGATCAAAACTAACTCAACATATTTCTAACCCTCCTCTAACTAACTCTATAACAAACTCTACAGAAAATATATAACAGATTTCACAGCATATACATGAGGAGATTCACATAATACAGGGCGATTCGATTGAAAAAAACCGGAAAAGTCAGTTTATCAACACAGAGAGAACTACCAAAAGTCTATCTATCTATTCACGATTCAACAACCAGAAAAGTCATAGAAAAATCTTAAAAGAAAAAAGTTCATCTCACCTTTTTCTCTGCATCGTTCCTCAATCCACCATTCCTTTTGCATCTTCATCCAACCGCAACAATTTTCTGCAACCTTAATCATCATCTCACAAACCTTCAACCTCCACCATTTTCTCTGCACCTTCCTCGCGTCACTCCATCACCAATACTCCCTATTCTCTGCTTCATCACTGAAAAAGCATCATCATCATCACAATTCATCAATAACACAGAGCTCACAAGAACAGAAAAGGAGAGAAGAAGATTCATGATTTATGATAACAAAAAAACCATACAGTGAAGACTCACCTTTCAACCTTCACTCTTAATATCCATTCTATCTCTGAAATTCTCTGAAGCTTCTTGGCTTTCACTCTCAATTTTGAGTTGGTTCTTCAGATCCTCTCTCTTTATTTCCATTAACCTTCATATTCAACAATTTGAATCTTCAACGGTTTGAATCTTCATCTTTATCATCTTCAATCTATCAAACATCATCATCTTCACGCGAATTCGTCGGTCTTCATCTTTTCTGAATCACGCTACAACAAACATTCATCATTGCTTCATCATCGTATTTTCTACGTCAATCTCCAAGCAACAATCCGCAATGTGAACAACAACTACATCTTCACTTTGCATCACCAGAACAACAACATCATTATGTAGCAGAGGATCGAAATATGAAGAAGAAGATCAGAAGAAGCTAAAAGCAAAAGAGAATAATCTTTGTACCTGGAAAATGAGGATTCTCTAGATTTCTTTCGACGTCGACACCGTTGAAAGAATACCGGACCTCTCGCCGGTAGGTTGAGTTCAACAATGACGAAGAATGGCGAAGCCGTGAACGGACGATGTACGATGGCGTGTGGCTCGGAGATGCAGATAAGTGAGTGAAGGTAGCACCGTCTTTGTTCAAAATCGAAGAAGAGGAGGTGAACGGTGCAAGATCGGAGAAGACAATAGCGGCACAAACATGGTGGAAAATGAAGGTTGAAGCGGATGTTGAATTGAACAGAGAGGGAAAGTTTAAATCAAGAAGAGCATTAGAGATCAGAGGTGGCCGACCGCGGAGCCGTGTGGGGGTTGAACAAGAAACGTCTGTGCCAATCATAAGGAGAGAAGAAAAAGTCTTGTAAGAGCTCAAGCGACACAACTTGTAACCCTAATCCTCCTTAAACTCACTGTTCCATCATTTGCAATACCATTTTTTTTTATATATATTTTTTATTATTAAGTCATTGTATAAAGATTAATTGGATGTTGTCCATGATAAAGAGGATTGGACCAATACACCTTTGTCCTTGGTCCAAGGGGAAACTTTTTGCTTGGCCTTGGGTCTGTGAATAAAAAAGGGGCTCTGGGCCTTATTGTTACTAAACCATACCCCCTGAATTCATCTTGCACCCCTGGACTTTTTCTAATCTCATTAATATTTTAGTTTTTTCTTCTAGTTAAATTTTTTCCTCTTAATTGATAATAAAAATGATACAAAAATAGTAGAATGTTTTAGGAAATATTTTTAGATTCTCTTTAGAATTTTATTAGAATTTTTATTATTTCCATGTTTATTAATCATTTTCGTTGTCATTTTTAGTTAAGATTTTGTTTGGATATCGATGTAACTCTTGCAATGTGGAATGCTCGGGGATAATTCTTCAATCACTCGTTCAAGGAAACTTTGGTAGGATTTTCTTATCGCTTGCACATTTTTGAAGAGGCAATGGACCTCCTCCGTTCGGTATCGTCACAACTCTATTTTATTCTTCATTTCCGTACTTCATCGCAATCCATATACATGCTAACATTAGGTAGAATTCCCCCAAAATTCTAACTTCAGGTCTACTAACGCACGATAACATTAGGTGTAGGAATAGAATAGTCTCCCTATGACTTTTCTTCCCGTTTTGCATTCGCATTTCAAACAAAAACTTCTTTTTCTTTTCAAAATTCAAAACACTTTAAAACTACTGATGAGAATCACACCTTAGCTTAGTATGAGAAATGATAAGAGGGTCTCTTCTTGATCTTATTGTTCTTCATCTCAAGCCTAGGTGTGGTTCAATTCTCAAAGACTCCTTTCATAGCTAAGTAGAAAAGTGGCTAATATCTCTCTCTTGAGGTCGACTAGTCATCATCTGCAACAAAATACAAACCAACTCAAATCTTTTGTGCGTTCAAGCACCTTTCTTTTAAAAACCCTTTTCAGGTAAGGACACGATTAATTTACTTCTGTGCCAACGCATAAGTCTCCAAAGGTCGAGCTGCGGCAGAATTAACTTCGTCCATAAAAAAATGCAAACAAATAAAAACATATGAGCCGAACTACGGTAGCTCTGATTCCTCAAAACGGATACGTAGGCATTGGGGTAGGGCCCAAGCGAGCACAATTTTATTTTCCCTACATTCTTTTTCCCCTTTCCTTTGCATGCATTCTCCCTTCAGTAGTATAGTAAACAGTAAGCATAGATTAAACACACCCATAAGATAGATAACAAGAGTGGATACCATAGAGTACTACGGGCGTGTGGGGTGATAATACCTTCCCCTCGCGTAACAGACTCCCTTACCCGATCTCTCGGTCGCAAGACCGTGACTTCTCCCTTCTCAGGTTTTCTCGATGTTTACCTTTCCCTACATGTGGGATAAAATACGTTCGATGGCGACCTCATTGTTTTGATGATTTTCAGCCGGTTTTTTCAGCTGGAAACTTCACTGGGGAATAGGTCGACCAAATGGTGGTCCATCCCGGAGTCGCTCCTAGCTCTTTCTTTCTTTCATTTTGGTGTTTATCTTTACACTTTCAGTTTATTCATTCATTTTGTATATACTTGAGCATACGTATGCATTACATTTCACTGTTTTCCATATACTATTGATGTACAGGATTTGCTTCTTATTTGGGTGGGGATGCTACTATTGAGGTAAAAGGCCCAGTACCCAGGCCAGAGTGCACTAGGACACCTAGGAATAGAGTGGGGGCATGACGGCTATAGGACGTGGTCTGATTAGTGCAGTCATGTCATATACCACTCTCGGATGAGGTTCAAATGAATTATTATCGGCACCCACGGCTGTGGGCAAGCCTATAGCACTTTCAGGCGAACCCGTGATTTTCGAGTTACCATTATCTTACCCTGACCTAGTTTTCACCCGTGAGTGGGGAGGGAATTTCTATCACAGGTACAGATGGTGACTGTGTTCAGATGGTTATTCATGTACAGATGGTGACTATGCTCAGGCAGTGACTATTGGTTCTAACGGCTATGTACTGGATTTCTGTTATGACTTTATGCAGATGATATATCCTGTTGGTGACCGTATGGTTCTCAGATTTATTTTGAGTTTCTGACTTGTTTACCTGCAGGTTCATTCAAGCCTTCAATCTTGGTATTCCTAACATATTCAGAAATTCTTAACAATATCCAATGTTCCAGAAGCCTTGATCCCGTACAATGGGAGATATATAGGGTACTTGGTTCTTATATATGCAGAAGATATGTCGGACCTTTGATCTGATGATACTCACATGATTCAGAGCAGTGCAGCAATCTTATTCAGGAGTGATGGAACCCTGATCCTCTTTGATCTCATGCCTTTGCATACAGAACATGGCTAGCCACATGCTTAACATACATGTTCTGTTATTTCCTTGGAAATGACAAAACATGACATGGAATTCATTCATGCACCCCATGCATATTCATGCATTCATTACGGGTACCCGGAGATTGGGGATTCTTATTCAGACCTGAGGTTCTCTTCAAAGGCTCAACTTGGTTTCTCACCGCACGTGTTCAGGGACCAGCTATGGAATAACTCTGAGTGGTACATGCAAGCTTTGGATCGTAGTCAAAAATTTCTTCAAGCAGGAAGATGATTGATTGAAGACTCAGATAAGCAGTTCATGGAAACTCTGATGATGATGTATATTATTTCTTTAAGACATGATGTGCTTGGTGATGCATATTATACTGGGGCACCTGGCCAATCGATTGAAGATGGTATGTCATCCAGAGACCAAGTCCAAGACTGGATCAATTCAGAGACTGTTGTGTTCACATCAGGTCAGAAGGGAATTCTCTCGCCCACTCGAACATCAAGACTACAGAAAGTTGTTAGAATCAGCAAGTCCATACGGAGTCAAGTCTCCTCAACAGTGGCAATCATTGGTTTCTTTAATGCATTTTCATTTGCATTCTTGCTTGTTTGTTTAAACATTGCTTGTATATAGAAACTTGTCTATTTTTGAACAAAAACCTTAATGCAATAAGTATGCTTGTCTTGAAGTGTTCTTTTCATTTTTACTCATCTATTCGTTATCACTCTTTAAATATTTTGCTTGCATATTGATGCCAAATTTCCTAGTCTTATGCTTAGGTAAATATTCAAAGGAGGACGATGACAACCTAAAACACAAAAAAAAATCTCTGGTTGGTATGCTTTTGAGTAGGACCCTGCTGACGATGTACATGCCTTGTTTCAATCCTCAAACACCGGAGATATAAGGGAGATAGACCCTCGTCAACCCCTCTGAGCCTTCGAAGTAGGAGTTTCCTTTCTGTTCAGAAAAAACCCTCATTTCAACCATGGGGTGGGTAATGTTCAGCTAATCTGATCAAGCATTCAGAACTCATCAAGAGTGTGCATCCAAGGATACAACAATGGTTATCCATCAAAAGATTGAGAAAAGTCAAAACCACAATGGTTAATCCTCATCTAACAACAATGTGCGTCTATTGACTATATCCTAATGGGTATCTCTCGCATATCAGGAGGTCAACAAATGACGATACTGAAGACTCAGGCAGTCACGATCACTTCCAACAAATCAAAGACAATGCAAAGATCAACGACTTGTTCAAAATAAAAAATACGAATAAGAAAGAAACAAAAATCCCCGCTAAGTCAAAACTTGAAAACAAGTCGCTTAGGCAAAAAATTGGGGCATCCCGTTGGACTTTCAAATCGAAATTCAAAAGAATTTATCCAGGAAAAAATTAGGGAAAGCAAGAAAGAAATTGAAAAGCCTAAAAGGCGAGAAAAGGATTACCAACGAAAATCCTCATCAAAGAACAAAGTTGTCTGATCAGACACCAAAGACAAAGAAGTAAGTGGTTGTCGTGTCCAAAAAACCACAGTGGTTCCTCAATCATCGCAAACTCTTCAAGAGATATGAATGCTTGTACCAGGTCAACTGAACGTAGGAATGGAGAACATCATGGAGAACGGGTGGGCACCAAATAAAATTTGAGCCTTAAATCCTTTTCTTAAAAACCGTGAACCAGGCCACGTTACAACCCATAAAAGTCCTAACTGAAGCATGGGTCAATTCGAAAGCATGTTATAACGAGATAGCGTTTAACTGACTCCTAATAGGCGTGTTTAATATCTGTGTTGGCATCATATGCTTGCATTATCTTTCATAAAAAAGGATTTGCAAATGTTTCTCTCTAGCTAGTGACTCGTTCACAACAGAGTTGTGACGTCATTTCATTCAAAGTTTTTTTCAAACTTCAAGACTTACATATGTGTTGCATTAGAATTATCATTCTCATAATAAACATTCTTCTGCATACAAAACAATTGATTGACACCAAGTAAGTTTACACAATGAACAACCGGTAAAGAGCTCAATCTTGTCAGAGAAGAGAGGCTTGAATACCCTGTTGAAGCAAGAGTCAGCTGCCACAAGAGAAATGACTTATCCAGTAGCATGTTGACCGGTGATTCTGTCAAGAGAAATAAACTTGGTACTTCACAATCTGAGTAAAATTCAGGGATGAAGTTAGCAGAGCCAGCCAATCTGGGGAAATCAAGTCGAGAGTCGATCTCTCCAAGCTCAGCCAATCTGGGGCAATCAAGTTGAGAGTCGATCTCTCCAAGTTCATCCAAATCTGGGGCATTCCCTCAAAGCTGTCAATCAGAGGCTATCACATTGATAAATCTCTTCAAGCTCGATCAATCAGAGGCTATCACGTCGAGAGACCTATTCATAATGCATTCAACCTGGGGCAGTTACGTCGAGATTCGACAAATCTCTCCAAGAAAGCTGTAATCAAGAGCAGTTTACTTCGTGACTCCAAACATTGGGGCATGCTACCTCATATCGTA